TTCGTTTCATAAATGCTCGTGCTCAGATAGAAGGCGTTGCACATGAACTGCGAGAAGTACATGATTTGGCAAATAGCTGAAAACAGATTAGTTTTACCAGTTAAGCAAACGACCTTAACAAAGTACAAGGTGGAGAGGGGGGGGGGTGGAGAGAAAAAGAAGACATTTTGAGCATGCTGCGTTTAAAATAGTTGCTTACGGCCCTCGACGTCTTCAGGACGTCTTGAACCCAAAGGACACATTGCTGAATTGATTGACTGACATTGTATATCAAACAAATGTGTAGTCCTTCGCAGATGCCTATGCACGGCGCATCCCCAAAAAAGTGCTCAACGCGGCCTGCCCCTGATGAAGTCGAGCCATTGACACCTCTGCATGAATATGTATTTATTTTTTTATTTACTACACTATGCACATGTTCTCTTATTTATAAACAGTATGGACTGTATGAAAGATATCAAAAGAAGGAGTTTTGAAGCATCCACCGGGGATCAAAGAATACAAAATTTAAAGTGGAGGTTATGATTTGGTAAGTTGGTTTCCAAAATCGATAAATTTAAGCTATTCAAAAAATTTTTTGTCGATTTTTTTGCCGGTCCCTCGTTTTCGATTCGACGAAACATTATCGGCAGCATTGAAATGGTAGAACAAAAGTGTATATCCGATAAGTGAAAATGGCGAAGATCAAATGGAAATCTTATTGAAGATTTTTGCACAAATTTTGTATGGCCGTGTAAAGCTCCCGATGCTGATGTCAAATATGTGCGTTATTTTCTGTATGTGGTTGAACATATTTATTTCATAATTTGGTTTTTTGTCAATTGGCACTTTCAACAGGGCAGGACTCCTATCGATTGATCGATAATTTGGACCCACCACTGGACTTCTGGCTGCCTCCCGAACTAGAGAAATTGAAGCCTCGTAATTGGAAGAATCCAAAAAAGGAGGAGAGGGTACCTGAACTTGGGGGGTTCTAATAGGGAAGGGATCTACAACCATTCCTAGAAGAGTTGGTAGGGGCATATTGGGCGAACTGGCAGCTTATTTCCATCACTGAGAACAGATAAGACCTTCAATCTTCTCATTGAAAATGACGAGGGGGACTGAGTGGAAATTTCGGTTTTTTCGGAAGGTGAGTAGGACTTAGTTGATTAGAGTGGACAGAATTTTGACAAGTTCTTTTTTCAAAAGTGTCATTCTTCGACATACATCTTCGACGAAAAAGTTGGAGTGCATATGCGGGCTTCTCCTGAAAGACCAGAGCTTCCTCGATTGGTGTGATTTCGAAGTAGCGAATGAAACTTTGGAGAAAAAGATTCCCGTTTTCCAAGGTGTAGTGGCTTTTACATGTTTGCAGCTCACGGCGCACTCACGCACGCGCCCACTCACACCCGCCTGCCCGCACGCACGCATGTAAGCTTTGACTAACACACATCCGCCAACACACAGTCGTAAAATTCTACTGTTTTTTTTTTGGTGATTGGAAACAATTATCTAAAAAGAGAAGCGAACTCACGTTCAAGAATAGAAATCATATCCGGATCGACACCGCTGTCGTCAAGCGTCTGCCATGTCCGAAGAATGTGTGATGGTAGATTCAAAACTAAGTTCAATACTGATATAATGATCGAACGCATCACCATTGCTGTTTTTTTCTTCAGATGCATCTGACGCTTTTTTGTGAAGTGCTGGAAACGGAACAAGAAAATGTTAGTGCTTTTTTGATGCAAATGTCTCAAAAGAGAAATTGATGAGAAAATTGTACGAACATCTGGAGTTGTCACTGCCATAGATAAACCATTTTGACATGAAATCATATTTTGCCGTACATCAAACGACGTCTCGAAGTCCGGAGAACAGGAATATCTGGAAAATATTCGATTTTTCCCATATTTCTTATGCGAATGAAACGTCGGTAGAAGTTTTGCTGGCCTTATGTAATTCCGCGTCAGTTTTGGCTCGAAAGTTTTACCAGTTTTTTTTTCGGATTTGGAAAGTTCTGAGGTTGTGTTCAAGAGTGCGTTTGGTATGTACTTGGCGGATGTGTGTTAGTCAAAGCTTACATGCGTGCGTGCGGGCAGGCGGGTGTGAGTGGGCGCGTGCGTGAGTGCGCCGTGAGCTGCAAACATGTAAAAGCCACTACACCTTGGAAAACGGGAATCTTTTTCTCCAAAGTTTCATTCGCTACTTCGAAATCACACCAATCGAGGAAGCTCTGGTCTTTCAGGAGAAGCCCGCATATGCACTCCAACTTTTTCGTCGAAGATGTATGTCGAAGAATGACACTTTTGAAAAAAGAACTTGTCAAAATTCTGTCCACTCTAATCAACTAAGTCCTACTCACTCACCTTCCGACAAAACCAACATTTCACTCACAAGGGGAGGTCTTTCAGGTGTACCCGCGCTTTCTCAAAACGGTTTTTTGCATGATGTAGGGATGTGCGTGGATTACAGAACTGTAGTCCATTTCCGCTAAATGGCTCTCTGAATGCCAAAAAAGGAGTGAGCAAATGGTCCTTGGTTCGATTCTCCGCGGCGACAAATTTTTTGCATTGTGATTTGACGCAAAATTGGCACCAAATACGTCAACACCAGGAATTGATGTCATGTTTATAACTAGGCTTGCAAAAAACCCTTAAAAGTAAGCGTATACCGAAAACTGGTGGAGAAAGTTGTGACGCAAGAACGGCACCAACGTGCCGTCGAACAGCGTCATAGGGGCCCAAAATGATGTCGGAGCTGAAAATGATGTCATATTCGTAATCAAGACACCTGATTACCCTCCTATATGAAGTTTCGCGGAAAATCAAAACTGAACCGTGGCCACCCTTCGAAAAAATCATGATAATATAATAACAAGTACAAACGGTCAGGCTCGTCGGCGCGAGCTTCTTGGAAATGACCTCCTCTAGATCCCCATCAGAAAAATGAGAAATGTTCCTACCGAACAGAATAGTAGACACCCAAGCTGATGACGGTCGGGGAGAGGGGGCACCCGCAATGCAGTAGTTTTCTGCTAGTTCTCCACACGGAGCTTGCCCCCAAGCGACTGGAAATACTTGAAGAGTTACTTTGTCTAGTGAAATTTTCGAAGTTAGGTCAAAGATGCGATTTTCCTCGAAACTCCGGCTACAGAGGTAAATCAGTGTGCTGGTTAAGAATATGGCATTGTTTTTTGGAGCCGCCGCTATCTGGCGCCATTTCGACGTTACAACTTTGTTTGCCTGCTTTCGGTGGAAACTTACCTCATCGGGTTTTTAACGGTTCTGATCATGAATAATACATCTATTATGGCGTTTATGCAACTTGGAGCCTCGAGATCGAGATCTGGAAGTGCCAACAAGAAACGCAAAAAATTGCGCATCTCGAGGATCCGAACCAGCAACCCCGTCCAACCGTGCCAATTGAAGTCCATATCGCTATCCACTACAACACCACCGACGCTGCCGAATGCTTCATAGCCGAAAGCACCCATGAAACTTCCACACGCTCTTCACTACATAGCATGTCATAACTACGACAACTTTTCCAATTTTGGCCAAACTGCGCGTTGTTTTCGATACAGAGCTTGCGAGAACCCTTCGTTATGCAAGCAGTCCACGCCATAAATGAAACAAACCACGGTGAGTGCGCAAAAATTGCACTATCCGACGAAATTATTTTCACTCCTTTTTTGGCATTCAGAGAGCCATTTAGCGGAAATGGACTACAGTTCTGTAATCCACGCACATCCCTCTACATCATGCAAAAAACCGTTGAGAAAGCGCGTGTACACCTGAAGACCTGTCACAGTCCCCCTCGTCATTTTCAATGAGAAGATTGAAGGTCTTATCTGTTCTCAGTGATGGAAATAAGCTGCCAGTTCGCCCAATATGCCCCTACCAACTCTTCTAGGAATGGTTGTAGATCCCTTCCCTATTAGAACCCCCCAAGTTCAGGTACCCTCTCCTCCTTTTTTGGATTCTTCCAATTACGAGGCTTCAATTTCTCTAGTTCGGGAGCAGCAGCCAGAAGTCCAGTGGTGGGTCCAAATTATCGATCAATCGATAGGAGTCCTGCCCTGTTGAAAGTGCCAATTGACACAAAAACCATGAAATAAATATGTTCAACCACATACAGAAAATAACGCACATATTTGACATCAGCATCGGGAGCTTTACACGGCCATACAAAATTTGTGCAAAAATCTTCAATAAGATTTCCATTTGATCTTCGCCATTTTCACTTATCGGATATACACTTTTGTTCTACCATTTCAATGCTGCCGATAATGTTTCGTCGAATCGAAAACGAGGGACCGGCAAAAAAATCGACAAAAAATTTTTTAAATAGCTTAAATTTATCGATTTTGGAAACCAACTTACCAAATCATAACCTCCACTTTAAATTTTGTATTCTTGATCCCCGGTGGATGCTTCAAAACTCCTTCTTTTGATATCTTTCATACAGTCCATACTGTTATAACTAGAGAGAACATTGCATAGTTAGTAAATAAAAAATAATACATATTCATCAGAAAGTTAATGTGCTCACTTCTATCAGGGGCAGGCCGTTTGAGGCACTTTTGGGGACGCGCCGTGCACAGGCATCTGCGAAGGACTACACATTTGTTTGATATACAATGCCAGTCAATTAATTCAGCAATGCGTCCTTTGGGTTCAAGACGTCCTGAAGACGTCGAGGGCCGTAAGCAACTATTTTAAATGCAGCATGCTGCAAAAGTCTTCCTTTTCTTTCAGCCCCCCCCCCGCCGACGTAAGCAAACCAGCCCTTTTGGCACATCGGCTGGGACCGTATGCTGAATGTTGGGGAGGGGATGGGGTCCCCAACGGTCGACGGTTTACTTCAACTCGGTTGGTACGATAGGAGAGTACTGACGCAAGTGGTGCAGCTGGTCCAGTAGCTTCGCCAGAAGGACCGGTCTGCTCACCCTTGGACTAAGCCTAGGAGAGGGGACGGACCCGTCCTCTCTTTAAGGCTTAGTTCTAAGGTAAGCGCCAAATTGTGGCGGTTCTAAGGACCGCGTTGAAGTTGTCCGTCCACCGTCGGGGACACCATCCCCTCCCCAACATTCAGCATACGGTCCCAGCCGATGTGCCAAAAGGGCTGGTTTGCTTACGTCCCGGCGGACAACCAAATAAGTTATCTGATTTT